ATTTGAGATGCGAATAACTTTTGTATATGTGTATATGTGGTAATGTTTGGTGAATAAATTTTTGTGGAATCTTTATTGTTCACAAAGAGTTTGTTTTAGTAGTAAATAAAATTTGATATTTATTCGCTGCCTTATATTTTATTTTGTAAATACCTGTAATGGCGTGAAATATTGTTTTCACAGACGCGGTCATTATTAGTTGAAAAATAAATGGTTTCATTATTAAACGTTTTCAAAGTGATGTCTTTTTTATCTCACAACTTTGTGATCTCCTAGGAGCTGTGTTAATGCAAAACTGGTGTTGAATAACACACACTTCGTTTATGTTCAAACGTGAAAATGACAAATGTTGATTAGGTTAATTCATATAGGGTGTTGCTTTAACTATCCTGACTGTGATCAGTAAGTTTCCCAGTTGTAATGTTGAGATGTTTTATAATTAGATGGTCCTTCAGGCTTGTTTTGTTGGCTAGTCTGATCCTGTAACAAAGGTTACAATGTAAATACCTAGTCATTTGATAAGTTTTTATTCAACGCTTGCAGTTTAGCAACTCAGATATATTTCTTCCCAAGGTCAATACAGTTATTACAGAGGACACTTCAAAGCGCAAAAATGGATATGACTTAGCAAGTAGCATATGGATTATCAATGAACAAAGTTTAGTCCCTTTTCTGTTTATGACTATTGATGTGTTTTATTAGCAATATGGAATAAATTCTGTGACAAATTATAAATGCATATGAAGTGTATTGTGTTTGATTGTTCAAATTTTAACCGAACCTTTTTTCTATCATCACGAAAGGCTTGTTTATTCTGCAGATCTGTCGTTGTCTGCAAAAATTATTTTAAATTTATGAATTGGAAAACTACCGTCCTCTACTACCGTGAATTTCTCAAAAATTACCAAGTTAATAAGAAAGTTTGCATGACTTCAGCCTTCTCAAGAATTCATCAACTGTATCTCACATGCATTGAAAATGCTATCTTTTAAAGGTTTTATATGTAACTAAAGCAAAACTTTGAGTACTTTACGAATATTTATCTTGACCTGATAATTTGGATCGTAGTTCTTGAGGAACCAGTTCATATTTTGAGCGATTGGCACTCTTACACTTTCATTTTTATTGCAACCAGCCATTTGATCCAAGGTCTAAAAATATGCAGTTAAAAGTAAATTTTTGCTTCTTCGTGTAAAAATTTAACATATGAGCATACTTATCAATGCTACCGCAGTTTCTGATTATTACATTTTCAGAAATCATTCGACTAATCAAAATACTTGTTAGGCCCTATATCTTTTCCTTGAGTTCATGAACTGTATTTCACATACAGTGAGAAAGTATTTCTCAGTTGTATACAACTGAAACAAAAGCTATCAATAATTTATCTCGACCTGATAAAGTGCTTTATCGGAACTCGTGAACCAGTTTACATCTGGCTTTATCGGTAGTGTTATACTTGCATTTTTATTGCGACTAGATTGCTCTAATTGCTCTGATTTCTAAAAATATTCAATTTGCAGCGAACTTTTTCTTGCACAATTTCTTGCAAATGTATTCATCAATGTTACTGTAAATTTTTGTATTATATTTTCAAAATTCGCTTGAATAATTAAAATGTTTGTTTCATACTTTAACTTCCTCGAAAATTCATCAATTGTGTTTCACATACAGTAGAAAATGCTGACTTTTAGATGTTACATATATCTAAAACCGACTATTTCGAACGTTTACCTCAACCTGATAACTTGGATCGTTGGTCTTGGGAAAACAATGCAGATTTGACGTGATCGGTGGTGGTATACTTATATTTTTATTGTGACCAAACAGTTGATCTAAGTTCTGGAAATGTTCACTTTTTTCTCATATAAACTGATCACGCGAGCATACTTTTTAATTTTAAATTAACTTTAACATTATTCTGGTTCCATAAGCACACCTGATAATTCGAATTCTCTGTTTGGACTACATTTTCTTCTCCAAAGTTAATTGGTTGTAAGTTGTCATTATAATCATATCCTTTTTTGTGTTGTAGTCCACATGCCTCTTCCTGTTTACAATAGGTTAAAGTTCACAATTTTGTTTTTACATAATTAAAATCTCTTACTCACTGAGCTAGCAACAGCTCATTAACTGCTTATCATTACGAATTACAGAAATGCTTTTGAAAATTGATTGCATTATTTATCTTTGCTTTTCAATCAAATTCACACTAGCCTTAGTAAGATTCATCGTAGTATTTTTATATAATTAGGACAATATTTACCTCTTTATTTTTATCTTCTAAGTACTTCAAACGATTATCCTTTATTTTTTGCCACAGTGACGATTCCTTTGATGAATAGTTTGCTTCTGAAACTTCCAACTGAATGTTTATCAAATTTATAAGGAGTTTAAGGTTAAAAACAGTAATAGCATTAGTAAGTAAATAATTTTTAATTCAAAAAAGGAAAAAAAAAGAAATAAATGAATTTTAAAAAAGATATCCTTGCAATTGATGAGAGATTGATGTCTTTAAGTTAGTTCCTGTGAAATGAATTACTAATCAGAATTAAAATAATAAGTTTTTTTTCTGTAAAATGATAAAAATAAGGTATTAGTATTACTTTTATCTTTGTGCTTTAATTTCTTATTTTTCCAAGCACGCTGAAACAGATGAAATTAATTATGAATTCTTTTATTTTTACTTTTTCTCACTGTTTCAATAATTCAGTTTCAGATCGGATTTTAAAATTTGATCATAATGAAGTTGAAAGTAATGACAAGTCCTTTAAAATGAATCTTACACTTTGTCAATTTCTAAAATTTCTATAAAATTAGCTGGTATTTTAGCGAGCAATTTACTTTTGTCTAAACTAACCTTTCGTGAACATATTATAATTATTGAAGATAAAAACATAAGGGAACCAAGAAATATTACATCGATCAACCAACCGAACAGATTACAACCGAACAGTAGTAATCTGAAATATACCATTTGCATCGCATTCAGTACCATCTTTATAACCTTATTCAAAGACAAGGCAGTGGTTGCTTTTAATTTTAGACGCGACTTGCTGATTATTTTTCCTTTTTACTAGCTTTAAAACAAAGTGCAATAGCTGCATCCCAATGAAAGATATTTATGTTTAACAAACATTTACAAAAACCTTTGTAAGACTCACAAAAACAACTTCATGGGACCACAGTACTAAGAAGCTCATCCGACCTCACAAAACATTAATATTACTAGCAATGATTGTGGTATAACTTTCACTACTTTTATATATAACTCAGTCATAAGCAAAAATAGAACTGTACATATCTTAATTTATTTATTAAGAGGTTAGGGATATTAGTTCTTGTTTGCTTAAACTAAAATGAATAACAACGAGAATCGAGTACTTAAGTGGTGGCTTACGACTGCATACTTTTGTAAATAAGTAAAAAAAAGTGATGTTCTTTTCAGATTTTTACGTTCTGATCAGTGAAATGATAATAGCTAATTAATTTTAATGTAAACTGCAAATATATGTTAATTTGTGCATATTGGTTTTATATGATACTGTAGAAGTTTATTCACGTAAACATGTGCGAGTATGTATATATGATGTAATTCTTTTGATTTTTCTTGCGCACGATGCATGTGATTAGTTGTGTGATAGTATTATTGTCTGTGTCATAATATAAAAGAAAATGTATAGAATGTCATTATTTACGTAATAAGTAATGACATCAGAAATAAGGAATTATGAGTTTTGATGTATGTAAGAGAGAGAACATTTGAGAGCAACTTCACATGTCTTTGTATATATCTTTGGCCACCCTTAGTTCTTGCGCAGCATGTATATTTATAAACTTAGATGTATGATTCCTTGAAGATGTATAGGAATCTGAGCATGTAAAATTGTATAACAGAAATATATGCATACAAACATACACGTCAAGACGTACGTCTTTTACATTTTTTAATAGCGGTAATTTGTAAGGTAGTCCCGTAATTGCAAATATTAGACAATATTATACAATTATAACTGCAAATAACAGCTTTAATTAAAAGCACAAGCTTTCAGCAATTAAAAGCACAAGCTTTCAGCAATTAAAAGCACAAGCTTATTAAAAGCACAAGCTTTCAGCAATGACATTTTTGACTTTTTGCTTTGTAGTCTATTTAAAATAATGCATAGCAGTGTAAGTATATATATGATAGTAACAAAAACAAAACAAAAAGATATGAAACAAAAGTGATACACAAAGTCTGAGGTGGTGAAGTCTATTATGAGTTCTGAATTTTAATCTGAATCAAATATTTCTCTATTATTATTTGATATTCTGATTCACAATGACAGATTATTTTTAATTTGCCACCAATTTTATTCTTTTTTACGGCAGATGTGAAAACATTATAGTTGAAAAATTATTTGCGAGAAATGAGTTATTAAAATCCATTTGCATAAAGAATAACAATTAACTCCTAAATTATTCCTTCTATTCAGAATTTAGAAAGAATGATTGTAAATTTGTTTATGAATATAAGAAGAATACTTTTATGCAAATTATTCAGAAGAGATCAGTATACGAAGTCTTTTCCTTTCTCTGTCCTCTCTAATCTCAAATATAATTTTAACGATATTAGAAAGCCTTCGAAATTCTAGCAAGTTGTGATCTCATCAACTGGATTAATTTCAAACTGCTATCGCTAATTATTCATTTAACTGTGCTTTTGAGTAATGCGAATTAATTTCTATAAAAGTAAGTAAGAATAAAGTTGATAGAAGGTAACAAAATTGATTATATCTGTGTAAATCAGAATGACATATTACTGATTGTCTTCTCTCCGTTTTTTTTTAGTAAGTCTGTGCATTTAAATTTTGTAATAAATTTTTATGTTTGTTATCAATTCAGTCTTAAATTTTGCTTCTCATCTTTAAATGCAATTATTTTATTAAGTGATAAGTGATAAAATGAGTAGCAAAGTGCCTCAGCAAAGTATTTTTTTAACTTTTATATGTCTGAGAGGCAATTTAATTTTTATATTCTGACAGAAATTTTGAATCATTTATCTAATCATTTAGGTCAATCAAAATTTATGATCACTTAAAGTCTGTTTATTTAAATGTAATCGAACAAAGGAGTATTTTTTAACAAGTAATAGCAAGTAATGATTAAAATTTTTTTGTCCATTTCGCAGTTTTCTAAATTTGAGAAGAAAATTTCGACTAGACATCATAATTCATAGTTGACATGTGTTACAACCACATGTCTCTACTGTACGTCCTTTGGTCAGTCTGAATTAATGATTGAAACGAAAGTTCTTAACATATTGCAAATTAATATTACTGCTTCATCTTGAATAATCGTTACCATCCAAATGAACAGCTATATTTCAACTACTCAAAATCTTTTTTGACTACTCCAAAAGTTTATTTCTCAGTGTGTTGAGAAACTGTTAGATCGAAAGTAACTATGAATCAAAGTTATTCACATTTAATAATTACTACAAATTTTACAAACTTTTTACCTTTTTTATTTTGTTTTGTTAATATTTTGTAGTGTTTAATCAATAATAAATAATCAGTGACAGTATATTTAATTCATTATTGTCAGCAGTTATCAATATTGGATTTTAATCTTGCATAAATATTAAAGTTTCATTATGACAAGAGTTGAAAGAGCACTCTAACTTCTTACTTTTGAATTTTTGCCTTTTTTAATAATTATTATTATTAAAATTGTGCGCTACTTTGTATTGAATAATCTATTAATCTTTACGTGAAATTTATTCCATCTGACAAAAGGTAAGGGAAAATTCACTTTAGATTGTTAAAACATTTTTAATTAAATTTATTCAAAAAAAAAGTGACAAATTAGTTTGTGCTAACAATTTGCATTATAAATTCTATACAATACATACTTTTGATATTCAAAATTTTCACATTTGAAACAAATGACAAATGCGAATTCGCATGACATTAAAAAGCAAGTTTTTTCTTGACAACGAACAGAAATCGCTTGCATTCAGCTGCAAATGTTCCGCTCTTCAATATTTAGCAACTTTTTGTTCTGTGATCTCTTAAGAGGGAAATAAATAGAAGAAACAATTAATCATCTCTTTGGATGCATACTTAAATTCAGATCGCAAAAGAGATTTTTTTTTTTCGTTTTTTGTTTTTTGTTTTTTGTTTTTTGAAATCTCTCTAATACTTCAAATCATAGATTATCCGTATAGTAACAAAAAATCAATCAAAAAACTTAATTTTCATTTTTTTTCGTTTTTTTGTTTTTTTTGTTTTGCAATTTACAGGCAATAATTTTGATTAATTTAAATTGAAATTTAGCTCATTCTCAGTGCTATCCATTCCTGACAATATTATCAAAAAAATATTTGCTTCTTTTGTGAAGTATTCGTATCTATTGAAAAATAAGAAAAAAATGTGTTTACTTCGTATTTTGAATAGAAAATACACAAGAAACACAGTATTGTGCCGCATTCTTTCTGTATGACAAAGCAGTGAGAAATTGCATTATGCTATGCTGTAAGTAAAAATTACGTTTTTCAGTTGTGATTCAGAATGTGATTCACTCAGAGTCACTTATTGTTTGACCATTGAAATTCAATCTCTATTCTAAACTACTGAATCAAACACAAATATCGCTTACAGCAGATTCTTTTAAAACCATCGATGATGGATACTCTTGCAATGTCCACTACACTCTTCTCTTTGCTTCTTCACTTTGATAATTGCATTGTAGTAACTTTGTTTATTTCAAGTTTTTCTTCACTACAGACGATGATTTAAAAAAAAAAAAAGAACAATTGTGCAATGAAAATTTTGAGTTTTGTCAATTTATGCTCAAAAAAAGACTGCCAAACGTGACAGAAGCAGCATTCATACTTTAACAAAATTTAATAAACTTTATAAAATTAACGCTAGCATTACAATTTATTCTATTTTGACATTTTTTATCGCATTCACGTCAAAATTTTTATGGAATTTTACACAACTAAAAATAGACAATAAAATATTCAAGAAAATTAAATGAAAAAGATTGCAGTTGAAATGATTCTTGAAGCACTAATTTGTACTGTAAATTATCACAGCTGTTAGCTAATGAGTCGCCGGTGCCTCTTAAAATTCAGAAAAAGAAAGAAAGACAAACATTGCTTCTAGTTACTTTCACAGCCAAATCAAAAACCAAATACTTCTCAGAATCTTGATTCATTTCAGAATGCTATAGGATAGTTTGGTTTGTCTTGTGCATATTATTTCTTACTGAAAATATGAAATGGAAGTTAGCATTATGATACATTCTGTTTTAGCATTTTTTACTAACTGTAGTCAAAATTTGCATAAGTATGTAATTATAATTACAAAGTCTTATAATAGTTGTACTGAAATTGCGCAAATTAATTTTTTAATGTACTGAGTACATTTAAAGATTTATTTCTTTTGACCAGTACTATGATAAAAAGTTTCGTTAAATTTTGTGAATTATAAAAACAAAATTTTTTATGCTAAAATTTGTTTTTTTTAAATTTTTGCAAGAATGAAATATTGCTATGAATGTGTGTAATTTATTGTGATTATTTGTTCGATGATTGAATATGCAAAGATTTGTGTCTTGAAACTTGAAAATAATGCAAAATTATGAGAGCTGTTTGCATCAGAAGCATTCAGATGCCACCTGAAGGCGTCTTATTTTCAGAAGTAATTCTATTCTTTATAGTTCACTGACTTTAAATTATTTTTCATATTTTGTAGACATAAAAATGATAAAAATTTTAATTCTGTGCATTAAATAGCAATTTTTAAGAAAATTTTGTTGTTGTAATCAATTCAGAACGTTAACTGGTTAGCTGCACTTTTTTCTTTCTATTTTTGCATAGCATTTTTTTACTTCTCTGTCTTGCACATAAGTAAAAAAAACTTAAGTATTTTGTCTATTATTAATTTCACAGCATCTTTATCACCTTTGACCTTAAACTTGCAACTTTTTTATCTAATAATAAACGAGACAATTTGGCAAAAATTAATAGTGATCAAATTGTTTGAAGCGAGCAGACTGATATTATATTGAATCTTACTATTTAAACTTCCTTCTACCATGATTTACATTACAAAATTGTTTAGCACTGATAATAATCATGCAACTGGTTTTTAACAATGAAAAATCATAAAAATTTTAATCCAAATAAGTTAGAACTTTTAACATCACTGACTATTGTTTGCTGTGCTTTTTCTTATGCAAATTTTAATAGATTATCAGAATATGCATTATTTACAGTTTATTTACTTAAATATGCAAATAACTCATAAATAAGATCTTAAAGGCAAAGTTATCAATATTTTAGCACTAATATACTATTGTGGTATTACTATAGTATTAATATGCTACTAAAATATTAATAATGAATTGAAGGCACAAATAGTCATTTATTATATTTAAATCTTACTACAATGTACATGTGATTTAGCTAGAAGTGCACATAAAAATAAGCAAAATTAATTATGCGTATTATTTTAGGTGAAGACAAAAAAATTGCAAATGGGATAAAGCACAAAAAGCGAAGAATAAGTCATAGTTTGATTAATCTAAAAAAAGAACAATCAAATTAATTCAAATTAATTAATTGCTTAGAATTGCAAATAAAAATAGAAAGCAAGCATATATAAATAAAAGTTGAATAGAAGAATGTTGTTCAGTGATCACTTGATAATATATTGTTTTAACGCAATGACTACAACACTTAAAGCTAAATGTTTCATTTTTTTGACTTCAAGATTAGCCTTTAATCTATTTATAAATTTTTACATCTGAAACCTTTTTATATTATCATTTATTTATTTGGCACTTTTAATTTTTAATAATGCAAAAATTAAAATACAAATTAAATTATTTTGAAAGTTTCTAAAATAGCATAATTATAGAAGATATAATTGAAAACTTTCTTTTCATTACTATCTTATTTTTTAACATTAAGTAAATATTGTTAACTCAGATTGAAATAGAAAAAAATTATTGCATACTTTTTGACATTCAAAAATTGAAATATCATTACAGTATACTTCAAATTGAAATACTAATGTTGTATTTAACGTTAAACGCATAAATTAAATTGACCTGTAGTTGCAGCTTTTAAATTAAAAGTTTTATTCTTTTGTTTACCAATTTGAATCTCTTTTCTAAGCCTTCTTCAAGAGTGTAGAAGAAATAACATTTGTGTGTTTGCATCCACAGCTGCGCAAAATATAACAACTTATAATATCAAATTAAAACAAAGAAAAATTTGAGAATAGTATTGAGAAGCTCAGTCTGAGTCAAATTAAACGTAATAACCACACGTGAATAATAATTGCAAAACGCTGAATTTGACTTGCTAATATCTTATTACCGCATGCAAACGCAAATTGAAGTTTGATAAATAGGATTAATTTGTCTATTTATTAATACTTCAACAAACTGAACTATCTTCACTAACAATGCATTTAAAATTACTGTATATAGCACTAAATGTAGAACTTCTCTTCTATCAAGTGAAAATAATTTTTAAATTTTCTGAAATAAACTTAAGAATCTAAGACTACTTTTTTGAGGATTTACTTATGCACTACATAAGTATTAATTAGGCCATAAGAAGTTATTACAATATGACTTGCATTGTTAAAGTTCAGCAGCGACTCTTATTTGTATTTTTACTTTAATTTTCACCTTTGGAATATATTTGCAAAAGTTAATTTGAATAGATTTAATACTGGTTTTTTGAATGCAGCAAAAGGCCAATTAGTAATCAAGCAATGTTTTGCAAGTAACCAAACAGTTTGGGATATTAAATGCTAACTTGATTCGCCACATGAAAATCAAACGAACTTTAGTGCATAATTTGAACTGCCTGATAATTTGATATTATTTTTGATCTGTTTATACTTTCAATTTAATCATTTTGTTCACCAGAATATGGAGCATCTACTAATATCTATTAATCTTAACTTGTTACTGATTTAAGAAACTAATTTCGAGATGAAAAATTACTAAAATGAAAAATATTTGTAGCTTTTGTGAAGTATTATTAAAACTTTAATAAATTTCATGAACTCAAAGTGTCTATTCTGATAATGATTTGAGCGAAAAATATTAATTATTCAGTAGGGTTAACTTGTATTCCATGGGCTAAGATATTGTGCTATAGAATGATAACCAAGTATTTCTAAAATGAAAAATAAGAAGCAAACTGAGAGTAAATAGATTATTTTCAATACCTTTTGGTTATAATTTATGCATGCTTATGAAGCATACTGTTTTACATATCAGTGCAAAACATTTATACATAGTAATAGCAAGGAATTTTCTTCTACTATTCCTTCCATCACATTGTTTACGATATTAATTCACACAATATATGATAATCTGGACAAATTTATAGTCTTGAATACATAATCAAATATTTAGATGAACAATTTTCCTTTGTAAATATTTATGTAACAAAAAATGCACATCACTTTCCTAATAATTCGAACTTAAAAAATAATGTTTATTTCCTTTCATACTTTGATCTAGCATTTCAATCCCAAACTGTAAGAAATTGTAATACATTTAAATTGCAAAGCATTCTAGATGCATAGTTTTCGTTCCTTGCATTCATAAACTCCTTACTCACTGAAAGCAAAAGAAAAACTTTGCTTAAGTCACAATAAGTAATGAACTTTCCAACCATATGCTATCTTTACAAAAACAAAAATGTGAGAAAACACTTGAATATGATTCATTTTCGTTCTTCAGAAATCACTTTTTTCTGACAAAATAGTAGTCTTTATAAGAAACAAAATGAATGAACTCTTTCTAGCATGCATCTATTTGTATAGGGTATTTACATGAAAATGGCTGATTCATCAGTGATAATCAGCATTTACTTTTGCATTACAAAAGCCCTGGATTAAAATACTTCTAAAATAATTATTTATTTTTTTAGTGATTCCAAATCTACTACTGAAATGTACTGAAATAATAAAAATAACAATGCGAAATGTGCTGCAGTTAATACTGAAACTTGACTACCATAACAAAATTTGCATTCTTAACTATTATAAATTTCCAGCATTTGATACACTCCCTCATTGTCATTAACTATAATCAGTGAATCAAATTTTTTCTAATAAAAATATAATTTGCTCTATTCTAACAGTATTTCAATCTTACATTTGAAATACTGTTGCAACTTGAGATGCTACGAAATGTTTATAATACATGAGTGCAAACTAATTCATATTTCATCTTTAAATGATCAAAGATCCATCAAATTCTCTCAGACTCACACGAAACCGTTTGAAATGTCATTCAGTGACGTATGAAATTTACACTGAATTTTTTTCTTGCTCTGTATTCCTGAAGAAAAGTGTTATCTAAATTTCATTTAGAGCATAGTCTGATAAGTTTTTACTACGTTTTATTTTACAACCAAGAAGTTAGAAAACAAAACGATAACAGATTCAACGTCGTGACGAACGATATCTCCGTGCTTCTTGACTTCTAGACCTGTAACGTTTGTGTCTTCCACGACTTTCTGATCGGTGATGTGGACGAGCTTCATAAGTCCTAGACTGTCGCCTCGTTTTCGATTCCCTACTTCTTGAGCGTCGACGTTTACGTATTTCTCGACTTCTTGACCTTTCATGTCTGTAAAATTTTACATGCTTCCAACAACTAGCAGAACAAAATAACATTTATGACTGCAATAAAAGTGTAAAAAAGGAAATAAAGATCATATATAAGCTCAAGAAAACTGGTAAATTTTAGACCTTAAATATTCTTCTGACCGTCGCCCCATCTTTTCATCCACACGTGTAGTTTTAACTTTTTTATCATATTTCGACAATTGAAGTTTCTTCTTTTCTGTACATGAATCCTGAAAAAAAAATGCTTGGCTTGCTACTATATAGAATAAATGCTAACTTGACCGATTTTAACATTGGTGCCTCTCAGTGTTTGGTTATGCAAAAAAATTTATTCATCTTTGACAATACTAATATTCAGAAATCAGTGGCTAGGCCTGCCCATGCCTGTAATTACAACCATTCAGCTCGTAACATTGATAGTTTACATAAATATAATATACGTGTAGAGAAAAATTAATAAAATTCTAGAAGAAAGTTAACACTATCCTTCCATACTCTCAATGAACTTACATTTTGGCACCAGAAATCCTACTTTATCATACTTGATGTACTTTTGCACACAGGCTTTATAAAATGTCCATGAAAATTTTTTAAACCAAAAAAAACAAAAAACCTTGGTAGGGCTTTGTTCGTTGATTTGTTTTTTTGATTCTGAAATAAAATATAATTACGAAATACAAAAGTGAAACTGATTCACTTCAAGCTTAGTATAATTATGCTATAGCAGATGAAATTCCATGAGCAAAAGTTATGAATACAATAGATGTCACGTTGTACTTACCAAAATTTTTTGAGAGCGACTCAAATATGAATTAATAAAAATCTTTAAAAAGTAAGCTTTTTGTACTGAAGCCACTCTTTCCATTTGTATTTGAAAAAAAAACTACCCAAAGATGGGTATCAATTTTTTAAATGCATGATGAGCTATGTATCAAAATTCTCAAAAGTGTAATGATGAAGATTAATAGTTAAACAACAACACTTTGCTTTACTTCAACTGAAGTTACATACTTAAAAGAATGAAAGCTGTCAACATTACTTTAAATGAAGACCCTGAATTAGTGGCAAAATAAGTACAAGAGACAGGAATGAAACTATAAGTGGATATAAATGAAAAAGCAGCATAAATCATATTTATTTCGAGTAATTTTATCTGCCATAAATAACTATGATTATCAGTAAGTCCGAAATCCTATTATTTTTGATTTCGCAAAGTTGTTTACAAATAACGCTATATCATAGCATTTTGTAACATATTTTCGACTGCTGTATGTCAAAAATGCGAACTAAAGCGTTGAGTGTTTCAGATATTCATTTGCTTACAATGAAAACCGAAAATATGCTAGCTTTGTTAATTATTGCTGGATTCTGCAGCACTACTGCTCATTTATACAAAGGCGGAGAATGGATTCCACCGAGAACGATCACTAACTTAGTTCCAGTAAGTTAATTAATGCCATGAGTGAACTTTGGAGAAACTTAAAAATAGCAGCAACCCCAATAACAAGTAATTAAAAAATACCTTGTAAGCAGATTAACATTCTAATCATTAACTGAAAATTTTAGTAGTTAAAAATCTCGTATACACTTTTTACGAAACTTCAACTCACTGCATATTGCAGCAACCAAAATTTGATATGTCATCACCTGAATGTATACCATATCGCGAACCATGTGGTTTTTACAGCTTCAACTTTAATAATACTCCATCACTCTCATGGGCAAAATCATGGTAAGCTAGTTTTCATTAGAATGAAATGAAAAATCATATAGATAGTGATATATTTCAACTTTATCATGAATAAGGTAGACATGCGCTACAGAATTTTTGAATTGTTATTTCATTTATTAGCTTTCCTCAATATACTTTTGCACTAAATATTATACAGTGCTACAAATTCTTATGCACCCAAAGTTATTGAATGAGATATACAAGTTTCGGAAATTATAATGCCAAATTAAAAATAAATATAGAAATCTACTCGTTCTCAAGAACTTCAAGATTCATCACTTTTCTACATTTTCATATCTGAGATCGCAGTTCTTTCTCGAGAATGAGTTTTTAATCTAGCTTTAGTAGAATTTTCAACTGCTTAAATCGATTATGGGAGAAAGAAGTTCTAGGCGATCAAAATTCATTCTTCACTTCTATAATGTAAATCAAAAAAAAAAAGACTGAGCTCAAGAAATTTTAGGTGCAGATGCGACAAAAACCACACATGTACATATGAACGAACAGATATGAAAATGCGCATCTATCGACTTTCTTGCACTCCTATTAGAAAGCAGAAAATTAAACTAGAGCCAAATGTTTGATGATTTTTGGAATCTTTGTCAATCTTGTTAAGTAATCATTTCCTTTGACAATGAAGCCAAAATTCCAAAGTCATTTAGTTGACTAAAAATAAGATTTTCACAAGATTGTAAACTAATAGATTTTGCAGACAGAAAACCAACGTTGATAAAAAAATATCACTAACTTCACGCACAAAATGAAATAAACCTTTGAGAAAATTACAAATAATAATAGTGAATTTCAGAATTTCATGACTGGCTAAAGAGTACTATTTTTAGAGTCCTTGCAACTTCACTGCAAGTCATATATGAGGAAACTAAACAACTAACGTTAATGATCCCAAAAATTCTATTTTGCAAAAGTTTTGACTTTTTAAAGTCATGTCAACCAATGCTACTCCCATTTCACACACTCATTATAATTTTTAGTTCTAGAATACTAAGTGTATGTTAAAAAATGATCATCCGAATTATTCATCACATCATGTTAACTGTCTTATAATGTACAATTAATTATTCATCCTATTTTCAAAAATATTTTATAGCACTGACTGTTTTGAATTCTATCGACTTTCTTTCTATCTTTCCATTTGTTTCTCAGTATATATCTTGATCTCATGCTATTATTGCAACTGAGCAAGAAATTTAAATAAAGAACTATTTCTTTTCGCATTAAAAACAAAAGACAATAACTTGTGCTAAATGATAATCAAAACAAAACATAAAAATTTAAATGTTTGCACACAAATTAAATTTCTCACCATTTCTTCTTCTCCACTGATAATTCTTAGCGACAGACTGAGAAAAATCAACATGTATTCGCCTATCATCAATTAATACATTGTCCATCTTAAAATATGCATCTTCACAACTTTTTACCTGAAATTATAATGAAACATCAGTGAAGAAATGAAAACTTTCTAATTTTTTTTCAATTTAATTTTGTTTACTTATGCATTCAAAAAAAAACAAACTCTTTATATACGACATTAGCTGAATCACATATATATATGGCACAAGATTTGATAATTTTATTTACATTTAAATGCAATATGAAGACTAAAAACTTTTGAAGAATGAAAATAACTACGCTTTCATTTCGGTAGCAATATTATATAATTAAAAAATTTGTTGGTAGCAATTGCTTAAGTACGTCAAACCTATATAGTAGCTGTAATATTTCACAAAAATGGATAAAACATTCAAAAAAAAATCAGTAAAACGAGACATAAAGAATAAGCGACTTCTTCACGAAAGTCATTGCAGATCATTTAAAGTTTCTTTAACTATTATTGAATATAGCTTGTTTAACTGATAATTTTATGATAACCTTACTTCTTCAAATTCAATGAAGGCATACTGCAACGAAGCACCTGTTTTCTTATCGCGAATGATTTCGCAACAAATTATTCTTCCAAAACGCGAAAAAATAATTTCTAGATCCTAAAACAAGCAATAAATGTGACTTCATTTCAAGGCGCAAAATTACAACATTAACATGTACCTCATCCGTAGTTACTGGATTTAATTTGCAGACAAATAAGACATTATCCGGTGGCTTCTCGTCTGCATAATGCAAGTCACCAACCTTAAAATTGTTTAGTCAAAAACGGCTGATTTTTGATTTATATTGACTAAGAATGATGAAGTACGCTTGAGTATTTATAAAAATTTATACTATTTTGAGAGAAGAGAAAAGTGAATATATTCACGAACCACATAACGCTTTAAATACATATGAATCTTACATCAAATGAATGAGCGAATAACTTCAAACCAAGAAGAAAAAATAGAAAGAAATATGAAAAAGCCAATAAAAAATAAACCATCTCTAGGATTTGTGCTTGTGCAGCCATATCTTTGGCTTCAATTTCCTTTCGTATTTCTTCTTCTGTTTTATCCTCATCTTCATTAGGCGACTGATCCAAAGCAATTTGAGAAACCTGTTACAACAAAACATAGTTAATTAACTGAAAGTATAACGTTTCATAATAATTACATTTTTCAGAGGCCACTGTTTTAAACCAAATCATAATCTGTATTACAAAATTTACGTAACTCGATTTTAGCAACAAAAAAAATGGTTCAAAGCACAAGAAACTACTTTAAATATCATAAATTACAACATTGATTAAGCTTGAATTCAAAACAATTTACTTACACTTAAAATGTCAAGTGTAGGTGACGGCGATCTACTCGGAAGATGAAGCTCTTCGAGGTCATCAAAGGGATCGTCCAAAATGACAGTATGTGCAATACTATAAAAAAACACTGACACTAAAACTATTAAAACATGACAAAAGAAAAAAATTTCGCACAAAATCAACATAATATATAGTTTGACTGACCGTATATCTCGAAATGGTCTGTTTTGTTCATCACAAATTTCTTGATTTAACTTTTCTAACGTATCTAAACCTTCAGTCACTTGTCCAAAAATAGTATGTTTCTCATCTAAGTAATCTAGATTATCACCTAAAACCAAAGATTATTTAAGATGTTGATTGATACCAGTTTTCCAAGTAAAACTTGTGCTAATCGATTTCAGTTCTTTGGAAATTCTCATCTATGATTGTTTTTGTTGGACAACAAATAGAAAAAATGATAATAAACATCATCATGCCTTCGAAATGATACATAACTGACATCCACATAAACCCACCTAAAGTGATAAAAAACTGACTGCCAAGCATGTCAGCACCATTATTAACCATTGAGACGATGCCAATCCTTGTGTGTCGTAATTTTGGAATAAGTTCAGGTTCAAAATAACGTGCCTGATCGCCATATAAATAACTGAAAATTAATTTCATGGCCCAGAAAACAAAACCTAAATGACGAACTTGGATTACTTACGCAAATATTGACTGACCACCATTTCCAGTTCCTGATGGATCTCCCATCTGTGCAATATAGTTCTGCTGCAACAAGCAAGAGTACTTTAATGAAATGGGAAATTTTGAGGAAAATCGCCTTAGCATAATTTTTACACTACATTTGAAATCAATAAACAAAATACATATACAAAAGTCTGAAACTGCTAAAACTTTAATTCTATAAATATTAATAACATACCTCAATTGCATGAATCTGACAAAAATTGTAGTACTTCATCTTGCATAGTTTTAAAAAATTAAGGCAACCTGAAACACAGCAGAGTTTACATTCACTTACTAATCCAATAAATCGAAAGATTATTGAAAAGATTTTGAAAGAAAGAAATTAAACACTTCAGAAGCACGAAAAAAATCTGAAGCTAACATCTCGGACGTTCTTTCACAAACAAATCAATAACAACATCTCCAATCGTTGTTTCAACCAATACAGCCATCACTTCCTCACCAAAAAATTTTTCCGCAGTATGGACTACAATTAGAATAAAAACTATGCATAAGCTGAAAAATGACCGTTAAGCTTCGCCAAACGCGCTAATTTTTGTGTACACGTTTCTCTCGCAAACTTTCATATTTAAACTATACAGCAAACAAAAAATGAATGACCTATGAAGAGTGATTGGAAAATCCGTAAATACTGGATACTTTTTATATTACACAAATCACAAATCTGAATAACACCCTAAATTTTTGTAAATGCAAACTTCTAACTTTCAATACTATTTTCAAATATACTAAAATTTTTAAATTAAATGATATATAGCAGGTGCAAATAGCACGATAAACACAAGTTTCTATAGAGTACCCCTACTAGAAATGAAACTTTATGCACATTTAAAAATTATAACATTTACAGTCAACAAGAAATCAAAAAAGAAAAAAACTATAAAGAGCCAGAAGAAATATTTTTTAGTGTTTTAATAATTTCTTTCGACCAATCTTCGCGTATGTCATCCCAGATTACTTCCATCTGCTTCGAATTTTCTGGAACTGTTGTTAGCATAATTTCACCATTAAACATCTCTATCCCGTCCTAAAAAATTACATCTTGAAAATAATTAAAATCATAGCCTTTCAAAAATTGATCATAAAAACTATCCCTTAACCTCTTTTATCTGCAAATTAGGATCAAATATTCGTAGTTTTGTTGCGAATAGCTTCCAATTCACTTCTTCAACTTCAATTATTTCACTAAAAGCAATGGTATGTAACGAAGAGTTCAAATGTCGAGCTGCTGTTTCAGGTGTTATCACTTCTAATTGGTTATTCTAAAATAAGTAAATAAATTTGAGCAAAATTATATTTTTCATGATGTTATAAAAATTTACGAGTAGTTTCAAAGACTTAACAAACAAAACCTGTTTATCCATAACCAAAAAAGCGCGAAAAGGACATGCACGTTTGCTTGGTGTTGGGTCTAAATCAATACATCTATCTAATATTTTCATGGGGATATCAAGATATACACTTAGGGGGGTTTCAATGACAACTGTTTCTCCGTTTGCGGGTTTGAACACTTTAAGATTGAATTCCTGCAAAATAATGCAAAACGAATCTTAAACCTTAAAAACATGTGGGTTTCAGTTTTTTTTTTTCAAAATTATAGAAATAAAAAATATTTCAGAACGAACCTTTTCTACTTTTTCTTTCAAAAACTCCATTTTGACATCTTCGCCATGCACAAACATTACATGTCTTGGTTGACAATCACGAATTAGCTGAAATGATATATACTGCAATAAATCATTAGTGTCAAAATTATTTTTAAAATTTAACTGATTCTCAAATATCATAGTCAAGTTGCTGGAAAAAAGTCTAAAATTCTAACATTAATGAAACGTACTATATAACAGAAATTATAGTACCAGATTATTTCTCAGAATTTGAAATTGAAGCACCATTAATTTACCTGCATTATGCCTTTGGCATCGGCATGTGCACTAAATGACATATATTCTACTCCCAAATTAATATCTCGCTGAAACGAAAAAAATGGAATTAAGAACATTAGAATGATAGAAAATAAAAAAGTCTAAAATAGATTTAAGACAGAAGAAGACATTAGTGACAGTCTAAAAATTACCACTCTCCCACTGATTTCAATTTTTTTTGCCCCTGCAATCACTTTAGCTCCAACTGTATTGGACACACAAAAACCTGGCATTATGATCAAATTTTTCTCATCTGAACACCATTTTGCAAACACTCGTAAAGACTGTCCACCATGTAACATGCCTAATAAAAAGGAGACATACATTCTACTCTAAGATTAAAATCTTGAATGAAGATTAACGTTTTGAATGCTTTTGCCTGGATCTAATATTTTTCTTACAGAACGAAAATTATGTTTCCAATAAAATTTTTCAAATAGTTTTCTCGGCTGATTACCAACGCAACTTCTAAATATAATTAAAAAAAGATCACCTGGTGTGCTGAAAAGTACCATTGGACCAGGCATGTCAGCAAAAGACTGCTCAAAGGGCCTAATGTGCTTGAAATCAAACATGTTGCGTTCAACAAATGTCCTCTTAATTTTCTCATTAGTCCAACTGATGAATAGCCGGTAGTACTTCAAAATAAATTATTTTCCAACTTTTAAGATTTTCCATAGTTTAAAATATGCAGTACTTTTACTCTTTTTCTCTCATTAAGATGCAAAGTACTTTAATATTAAAGTACTTTTCCAGAGTATACAAAATCTTAATGAGCCAAAAAGCATGAAAACTAAGTTTCTGAAATTCATACTAAATCTAAAACCTTTTGCGAACTATTTATTATTTCACATATGAAAAATAATCTAACATAAATTTATGTTTCGAAAGTTTTTTATGGCACTAAACTGCTCTGATATTTGCTTCGCAATTTATAAAAAAATTAAGGAATCTACTCATTATTACTTATATTGTTATTTTAGATAATAACAATGAATGAAAAGCACCTGATTCGCTTTTTCGGCTAATCCTTGAGAAAAAAATATAGGATATTTTAAATTCATACGTTCCCAATAAGATTCTAACAAAATACAAAGTTCCTGTGCTCGACCAAGCGCAAACACGGGAATCAGGACCTTGAAATTAGTAAATTGGACGGAAAATTACTTAATCAAGCAATTTTTTGTTAATATGGACTGAAAACAAAATTATGAAAAGTTAAAATGTATTTTTATTTTTTGAATAAATACAACCTTTCCACCATTTGATACAGTAGTATGAACTTTCTTCAAGAAATCTCGCTCACGAGCGCGCTTTGAATCTCTTATGGTTGTTGCATAAGTACTTTCTGATATTAACAAATCAGGTCTGAGACCTGGTTCAACACGTGCAGCTCCAAGATGACGATCTGGTGTTGTATTGAAATCACCTGCCAGATATTGGGAGTTAGGACTACAAGAACCTTTATGTAACATAAGATAAACCAGTAAACAGAAGCCAATGTAAAAAAATGAAAACACTTCTGCTGCTGGAACAAAATTGATGAATTAATAATAGTCTACACCTGTGTATAAAACACTTTCAGAACCAACAATGATTTGAAACATAGCCGCACCGAGCACATGACCAGCATAAAATGCTCGTATTGACAGTTCGTTATCCACATCTATCTTCTCATGGATATTCACAGCTATAACCTGAAATAAAGCAACAAAAGTTTAATAAACTAGGAAACCACAAGTGATGATGAATCCAACCTTCTTCATACAATTTTTGATCATCTGAGAAGTAAAGAAATTGGTATCTCCTTTGAACTCCGTCTGCACTTTCCGATAATCTTCCTGCAATGGTAACCGAATAAATCTTTTTGCAAAAAATAGACAATTATAACAAAAGAAACATCTGAAAAAGAGCTAAAACCCATCAAAAATGGATAGTTTTTTCAATGAATGAAATACAAAAAGGTATTCAAAAGAAAGCAGAAGAAAGCTTTGATAAATTCCATTTCAAATTATAAATTTTTGTTAATCTCCTTTTATTATTAACTTCGATACTATAAAAGTTTTTGAGACAAAAATCAAAATAAAATACCAGCAATACGGGAGCTATTGCTTTGGTAGGATATGTCATGTAAATTGGCCCGTCATAACCAACAACTTCGCTCATGTGCGGAAGTGAACCGCAATGGTCCAAATGAAAATGAGTAATAATCACACAATCAAGAAATTCGGTTAACGACTCGCCATTTCCAATAAAACTACAAAACGGTACATGAATACAAATATTATACACATATATATTAGATATATCAAAATAAATATACCAGTAGTTGTATTTAGGCTTATAAATGTAATAATAATTGACTAACGAAAAATCAGGAAAACGCCGCTCATCTGAAAATCCCATATGCATGCCACAATCCAACATCACATTTTTTCCAGCGATAGATACCAAAATACAACTTCTGCCTACATCTCGTCCAGCTCCAAGAGGAACTACCTACAACTGATTTTAATTTGACTACTGCATTTCGAGGGTGCAACGGTGCAAAAATATAATAACTTATTCGAAAATACACTGGAATCTTCATGCATCACAACAGTGGTAGCTGCAATAGAATTACAAAATTTACAGAAAACCATTAAATTTTTACACACTTCTGCACATAAAGCAGCTAAAAATGAACATATATTATTTCAAAGGAACTTGGTGAGATACAATAACCAGTTAAACTTACTCGAATCTCAGGCATTTGTAGTGTCAGCACGTCAAGGTGTTATAAACGGTAGCATCTTCTTACAGCAAATTAATTACTGAAGCTACGATTTTTAAAAATTTTAATGATTATTAAAAGTTTAGAGTGATTTCGAATACACGCTTTTACTCATAAGGAATGTTTCAAATTCTATAAGAGTCTTATAAAAATTAATTTTGCATAAAAATGCAAGCGAGTCAAGCAAAACAATTTACAGTCATAATTTCAGCTTTCACCACAAAATATGAATATTTACTCGCTTAGCTTACTCTCCTAAACATATCTAACATTACTTGCTATTCCAGCTGGATGTAATCATAATTTGAATGCTTTCAACTGAGATATTGCATATCAGATGGATGCAACGACAGTGAAATGAAGTGATATGAAAACAATTAATTTGAACTAAGCATAATGTGAGAAGTGGTTGTTGCAAAGTTTGATGTTATATGAATTAACGCGTAAAACAGCAGGAAATTCAGCGTACGTTCTTAAGTTTTTCAAGTGTCTAAAGTTAGAAATTATTTGTTTTGCTGCCATTTATCATTTGACTCATTTTAAGACTATAGGGAAGAAGTATCATAAAATAGATAAATTGTGATGAGATAATTCATACGACTAGTTTTGTATTCGGATATTTGAAAGAGCAATACAGAAAGCGATCATTTATTGAAAGAACTGGTATATTCGAAGCTGAAATTGTGGTAAACTTTTTAGCGTAGTGTTTTTTCTTTTTTTAGCTTTGTAGACTTGAGTTTACATTTCTGTAGTACTAGACGCTACTTTTCACATAACAATATTAAAATTGAAGCGAAATTGGAAACTTTAGCTTCACTTATGTTTTTGAAGTTTACTGTCGAAGAATATTGTGCATAAATGTAAGCTTTGTTTTGTACTAATAATAGTTTTATGCAAATCATTTTCATACGCATTAATATCACATTGTGCATTGAAAGTGTATGCATTTTTTTGCACGAATAAAAATCATTTCTTTAGCTAAGTCTAATATATGTAGAATTTGTATAAGAAAAAACACTGATAGCGCATATTTTTTGGGAAAATTTTTTAATAACTCCATATGGATTGTAAAATGCATAAAAAATGTACACAAATATTAAACACATTTGTATTTTCAAGTAAAAATAATCTCATATAAATTACTGAAATAAAGTATTAGAAAAAGCTTTGCATATGAAGAACAGGATTTGCGAAGAAGATAAAATACTGCTAATGCAGTTACTTTATATATTTGGTAGAAAAAAATTGCAAGTCATGTATTAATTTACTTCATAAAATTGCAAATCATATCCTAATTTACTTCGTAAACGTGCAAAAAATGAAGAATCACTGAAATGTTAGATAATAATAAGGTCTCGTAAGGATTCGTGAGAATTCTAAATTACTTTGAATCTTCTGTATTAACGCCAAATTCACATTTCCAAAGGTTTCGAGGAAGGCAATCTGTATAGTATAGTTGATCATTCTTTCTTATTTTCACAATGCATGATCCAAGCGTACGATGACAGAAACAACCTTCATCACTGCAACTTTTTAGATTGAAAAATAAAAAAAATAAAAGTATGTATGAGTTATTGAATTGCCAGTAAAACTTTTTTAAATACCATTTTCTTGATAGTAATGTAAGTTAGTATAATGAATGCAATAATGAGTGATTAGTGAAGCAAAAATGCTATATGCAGGTTCTTTTTTAAGAAAACAGCTTTGTGCTTGCTTTTGATTACTTTAACTCTATATTTAATTTTTTTTAAAATTTACGTCCAGTTTTCGTCAGCTTTTAAATCACACCAACTTTTGGGTTCACGTAACTCATAACAATCTGCATGCAAACGACATGATTTTGGTCTGAAATTATTTTAGTAAAAAACCTTTTGGTGCATCATTTTCAGATAGTAATTTATGATTAGATTAGTAATTTAAGTCAATTTGCTACAAAATTAAATACTGAACCAGAAATTATTATATGCCTTTTTTTGCATAAATTTTAAAAGGATAAGATATGCAGCAAAATAAGCAGACATTGTTACTCAGGGGATTCTTAGCAAAATAATTAATGTAGTAAAGTGTCTATAAATTTTCAATCTTTTTGTTTACTTGTGCAAAAGCTTACATTCCATCTGTTTTTACATAAGTTGCACCCTCTAGAGTAGGAGCATGCTCAATAACAGCTGGCAGCTGCGAGACACTACTCAATTGTGCTGTAATCATTGGTATTGGTTGCTCTGAGCCTGGTCCTTCTGAAACTAGTCCCATTGTACTCTCATTTTTTACTTCCATTGCTTTCTGTAAAATTGTCTCAGTTTCATTATTGACTTGTGTCTCTAATATTTCATCTGAAACAGATGCTGTAGCAGTTATATCTTCTACTTCTGGCTCTTCTTCTGAAATTGGTTCTGTAGTATTTCCAGAATTTGATTCTGCTGCTTTTTGTGGAAGCGCGTCTATGACATTTCCAACTTCTACTCCTTTTGAACTTGACTGTCTCTCATCTACAATTCCTACTCCTTCTGTTAATCTGGGTAATAATTCTGTTGTATTTTCTGTTTCTACTTTTCTTGCCCAATCTTGAATCATTCCTGTTGTGTTTCTATCTTCTGCTTCTGATGCTTCATCTAGCACAGATTTAGTTGCATTTTCAATTTTTATTTCTACGATTACGTCTGGAGCTGATCCTGTTGAATTTCCAGTTTTTACTCTTACTGCTACTCTTGGAGTGTATGCAGTTGCATCCTTTTTTTTCACCTCGAATGATTCTTTTGCTAAGATCAAAGCTATTCCACTTTGAGATCCTTTTTTGGCTTTAAGGATTGTTTGCAGATAGTTGCTTCCACTTTTCGTACTAGCATTCAACTGCTCTGAATTTACTGCTTCTGAAATGCTAACTCCTCTAGATCCCGTTGCCACATTATTATCTGTAACACTCACAGTAGGTAATAACGTTTTCGATTCCAGTAATTCATCAATATTGCTTATATTATTCAAATTTGTTGAAGTTGCTTCATTCAAAAATTCTGCTGTTGCCATAAACGGATTGTTGTCTAATTCATTGGTTTCAACAGATGTATTTGCCTCCATAAACATTCTCTAAAATTTAGACCAATTTGTTAAGATTAATCTTTTAAATTACCTTCTAATAGCTAATCAAATTATCATTTGTATTGTTTCTGCTTCAAATTTGTTTAAATAAAAATTATTGGATGAAAAGATAAAAAATTTGTTGCTGTCAATCACAAGCATGTTTAATGCATTAAAAGTGTATTATAACGAATATGAATATGAGTATGCATATGAATATGAATATGACTATAATAAAATAAGCATAATAAGTCTTACATTGTGAAGAGTTGTCTGAGATGATGAGCTGAATGCAAGTAAAAATGCCAAAAGTAGAAGAGGAATGTTAGTTCGACACTTCATTGTTATATACTTCAAAAAAAATTTGTCACTTTTAAATTGTTAAATTTAAACAATACAGTTGTGCAGTAGAATTGAATATCCTAAAAATTGTTAAATGAATAAATTGAAATCAAATATAGAAATAATGATAAGAAAACGTCGACAGAAGAAATGAAATGATTTTTATCTACTTAAATTCTGCAAATAATAATGCTGAAATGATATTTATTCAAGAAAAATAGTTTATCAGAATCAGAGAAAAGTATTCGTCGTATACGCAAATGAATCCAATTTGACATGGCACATGCAAAAAACTTTATCACTTAATATAAGTTTCTTTGTCATCTCTTTTACAATACATTAAATTATGAAAAAATAAATTGAAATTGAATTAAAGTACATTAAAACCTGACTTCTGCAATTTTGTTTTTATAAATTGTTAAATAAAAATTTAAACATTAGGTAGGGATTAACACTTAATCAGTAGGTATTTTTTAAAGTGCACTGAATTTTAGCAATGAATTTGAAGAAACAGATACTTGCCCTGGAATTGACAATTTCATTGTTGGAAAATATCTTCCAAATTAAATTAAAAGTGATTAGAAAGAATATAATCTGTAAATAAATGAAATAAGTTAGAAAATAATTTATTGTGATATAAATTTAGAAAAAATCAACAGAATGTGATACGAGCAAATGTGAAAGATATTATAATCTGCGATCAAATGTTATAAATATATTATATTCAACCAAAAATGGTATATTTGAAGATAATGAATTCTGACAATCATTTTTCTTAAATAATTGTATATTAAACCATGCAAATTCGAGTTAAAGATAATTTTTATAAAAGAAAAATTTTTAGCTTTCACAAAAAAATAGTCAAAGAAACGTTTCTATAAAAATCATCACAAAGATTTTTAGCTTCTGCGAAAATAGTCAATTGCATATTAAACCATGCAAATTCGAATTATAGACAATTTCTATAAAAGAATATTTTTAGCTTTTTCTACAAAAATAGTCAAAGAAACGTTTACTAACAATATGAACATTATAAGATAATTGTTAATTCAGAATAGAGCAATAATTTAGACTTCTTAGCAGATAGTAATCTCGTAAACGTACACAAATTGAGCGTAACTTTTAGTCTTACACGTAGATAAATTTTATCAAAAATCTTTTTTAAATAGAAAAAACTTTGAGGAAAAAGGCAGTAAAATACTTCATTTTTGAAAACTTTTGCTTATTTAAAGGTATGGCCAATAGTGATTTTCAGAACGAGATCGGATGGAACGAACAAAATGAAAAAAAGATAAAATATGTAAAAAAATACTTCGATTGTAACAAACGAATTTACAAAAGATAAATTTTTTTCCAGCATATTATTAAATATTTTGTGCAAAAAAAAAGTGATAAATTTCTTGGAGAATAGACCGATTTTCTAAAATTGACAACTTTGCGTTTTGCGCACAATTCTTTTTACTTCTTATCACTTTTTAATGGTGTCTTTCTTTCGGGCATTGCATTATATTTTTTTTCTTTTGCAAACAATACCACAGGCAGTTGCGAATTTTGAATAATTAATTTTTATATTGTCTTAAATGAAAAATAATGTCTAAAATTATTAAACACATTGAATAGTTTTCAGTTAGCTTTTGTTTAATTAGTTTGGAAGAGTACTTACTTACTTACTTACTTGCAGTTACTTTCAAGATTATCTTTTTTGATACCTCGCATTTTTGAATTTAAAAATTTATATTTCTATCTTTTCAATACATTGCTTGAATTTGAAAACTTAATTTTATTAAGTACACATAAATTATGACTATAACATAACAATCTACACAAATTATGAAAATTTACTTCAATGTTTTGGAGTGTTTTTAAATTTTATGTGTGTGTATTTTTTAAATATTTATTTAATTTATATTTGTACCAGCTTTATGCTACTAAATTTAATGGCTGTCGTAATTAATTTGATTATTTAAAAAAAATATTAAGTTCAAAACTATTGCCATATCTCGATAATATCAAGTTTGCTAGTGCAATCTACATGACCTTTTAAATCTTATTTGACAATAATCCTTCTGAAAAATCATTCCATTCTTTTGATATGATCTGCATTTTAAAGTGCTGATTGCAGAAATACATCACAATATATAATTATGGACTAGCTAAATTTGGCAAAATACTAATCATAAAATGAGATAAATTTACAAAATGATATATATGTGCTGTCTTTGCACAAATAGCACCAAATAAATGTAGCACTTTTGTAATTTATTTCTTATCAATAAATAGTTCAAATATTTGCATATGTGCAAATCCAATCAACTGAATCCAATCAACTGAAGTGGAAAAAAAGAATCCAATCAACTGAAGTAGAAAAAAAATGAGAATCCTGTAAAATATCACTTGTAAATTTCTAAGAGTTCACAAATTTGCAAACGAGATTTTTTTAGTTGCATTTTTCATTTGTTATTTCATGTGAGTATGCAATACCATTTCATTAATCTATTTTGATTTAAAAAGCTCATTTTTTTATCTAATATGAATACTGAAAGATATCATTATTATTATTTGACATAAATTAAAAGCAAAGTTATTTTGACACTAAAAATAAGTGCAAATTAAAGACTGCAAAATAAAACTTTAATAAAGTATACAAAATAAGTAAATTGCAAATTAAATAAATACTTAAAAATTGTTCTCAATAAAAGTTATGCACTTATAAATTATTGTTAACTGATACAACGCATCATCAAATTGTAGCCTTCTATGTATTTCTGAAATGGAGCAGAATTCGATTAAACTTTCATTACAATATATATTTATCTACGGTAAGATTCAGAAACAGTCAAAATATTTACTAATTTCACGTATTTTCTTAAATTAGCAAAAAGTATGCCAGACATCTAGCAATAAGCATAGATGAAATGCGATTTTCCATACAAATTTACCATAAACTGCTTGCAAGGAATAATTACAATTACGCATTCATAAATGATAATTTGAAAAATTGTCATGCTTGCGTAAAATAAGCATATCTTGACCTTCTTAATTTCTATTTGCTATGCAAAATCTTTTAAATAAATTAAGTGAGAATTATTCTGACTGGATGATATTACTTTCATTATTCATTAATAATAGTAATAGTTTTTTAAATTATTATTATTATTACTATTTCAATTGATCATTGTCACTGTTATTATTGTCATGAATAATCAATCCTTCAAGCGAAAGATTTTAGTGCTGATAAAATTACGTATGATTGTTGGAATTAATTAGATGTGAAGGGAATATAACATGCAATGAAATGCTAAAAAACATTTATGAGAAAATTCGCTGTCATTATAATTATAGTCATTATTATGATGATGATTATGTGAAGTGGCTGCAACTTTCGTGTAAATAAAAAATTTTATAAAAATTTTGTCTTTTGGCATAAAGATTTCTGCTGTGAAGTAGAAGCTTCGCTACTCACTTCTGTAATAATTTCAAGCATTTTGTGATAAATGAATCGGTTATTTTCTAACAGAAATTGTGGAAAAAATGAAGTAAACTAAGTAAGATGGATGTGATAATTGATAGAATCAGTGTTGAAAAAAACAATGCTATTATTCTCAAGCAGAAATTCACGATTTGCTAAAAGTATGAAACTTATGCCTACTTCTTATGGTATTACTAATGTTTGAATGTATTACACGCAAGTGCAAAATAATTTTACATAAATCACTTTCTTTTTTTTCAGATAGAATGTAATTTGCGATAACTTTAAGTTTGATATTTATCTTCATCCACGAAATTGTATAATAATGTGGTTTGTAGGGCAGTAATGAAACTAGTTGGGTTTGGGTTAGTTTTTATCTTTTTCACTTTTTAGCCATTGTAGAAAAAAGTTGAAAAGAATTGTTGCATTGAATGAATTAACAAATTAATATAATTAAATAAATAAGTAAATAAGTAAATAAATAAATAAGTAAATAAATGAGTTGTATGCCAGACAGTGCTAGTCAGCAAATAAAATTAAACAGTGCTTAATTATTTAACAGCTATTA